TTTCTCTTCCACATCTAACCACCCAGCAAAGCTACTGGGCTCTGGGCTGGTACTGGACAGTGTCCGCAAGGAGCCTTGTGGTGTGATCTGTCTTCAGGTCTCTCAGCCATGGATACCAGCACATGCTGTGGTGGAGGTAGCAGGGGAGTGAAGTGGACCCTGTGAGGGTCCTTGGCTGTATTTTTTATAAGTGTGCTGGTTGGTCTCCAGCCAGCAGTTGATTCTTTCAAGAGTGCATCAGCTTGCAGTAGTGTAAGGAAGACACAAGCTTGCCTTAGGGTTACCTGGGTAAGTATGCAGATTTCTTAGGCAATGGGCTGGACCTCAGAGCTCGCATGAGATTATCTTTGGCTCCCAGGGTGGGTAGAGGAAGGCCATGAGGTGGGGGCAGTGTTAGGCGTGTCTGAGCTCAGACTGTCCTTGGGTGGGGCTTGACTTGGCGGCTGTGTAGAATTGGGGTGTCTGAGCTGAGACTCTCCTTGGGCGAGGCTTGCTATGGCTGCTGTGTGGAATTGGGGTGTCTGACCTGAGACTCTTCTTAGGCAAGGGTTGCCTTGGCTGCTGTGTGGGACTGGGGTGTGGTCCTCAGACTAATGGAGTTATGTTTCCAGGGGGTTATGACTGCCTCTGCTGTGTCATGCAGATCACCAGGGAAGTGGGGGAAACCAGCAGTTACAGGCTTCACCCAGCTCTCACGCAGCACAAAAGGCCAGTCTCACCTCCACTTTGTGCCCCCAGTAGCACTGAGTTTATTTCCAGGCAGCTGGTGAGCAGGGCTGAGAACTTGCCCCAGTCTACAAGCCCCTCATTAAGAAAGCAAGCAGGGCTTTTAGGTTTCATGCCTCTCTGTCTGCCTCAGCTTCTGTGCTTGTGTCTACATCCCCAGTTTCCCCTCCCCAGGTTCTGTCCAGGAAACTTCACATTAGTCAAGATTATTACAAAATTGATCTGAAAGTTTCCTTCTCCTTGTGGTCTTTCCCCAATTCCATTGGCAGCCCTCCCAAAGGACCCCTGTAAGACAAAGTCAGAGATGGCTTCCCTGGGGGCCAAGAGTGCCTGCATAGCTCTTGCTGTTGCTTCCCTTACCTGTGTATTTTGCTTGGCTCTCTAAATTCATCTCACCTCCATGTAAGATTAAATCATTTTTGCACCATCTGGACCTTCAGGTTCCCCAGTGAGGATGTGTGTCTGAGGGTGGAGCATCCCCCTTTTACACTTTCACATATTTTGACACTCAGTTTTTGGCACGGAGCCTGCAGTGGCAAGCCTCCTCCTTCAAAGGGTGTTTGGATTCTCTTGGCTTTCCTGGTATGTCCTATGGTAGTTCTTGGCACAAAAGTCCACAGTGTGAATCTCCACATGCTGCTCTGTCCATCCGAGCAGGAGCTGCAAGTCAGTCCTGCTTCCTATCTGCCGTCTTCCTCTTCTGGAGTCCACGAGAGGGACTATAAACAAACTATTTTGTTGGGACTAATAATCTGGTCCTGGCTTAGTGTGAAGTGAAGTTCACTCCAGGCCACTTCTCTCAAGCTGTGTTAATTTGTGCCCTTCAGCAGTTTATGAAAGATTCATTTCCACAGGCCCCCAAATATACAACCAGGGGATTTCGTATATCTAATCTGAGCAGGGACATGGGTTCTACACGGAGACGGTGCAGAGATGAGCTGTGCTGGAGGCCGCACCTGTAGAGGTAGGGTCTAGACTGGGAGACAGGCAGTGGCCAACAGAAAGTAAAGAACACAAAGTGATGTCCTTCTCCACTCACTTCAGCTTTTCTCCTTCAACATTATTTCAGATGCTTCATTCCTGGCTTAGCTCTCAGTCAAGGTGAGATATGGGAACAGGATTGTGGCAG